ATCACTGCAAGTGCAGAATCTTTTAAAATCTTTCGAAGCACGCCTTTTATTCAGTCTTTTATCTATCATAATTCGATGGCACTTGAGCGTTCACGCAACAGACGCAGCGTTTTGATTAATTACGACCACGTATCCGGCAGAACATTACGTTGATACATAAAGACGTCTCGAGGTTTAATATTACCGGGTCATGCGAGCCTGAATGATTTAAACGCCGTTAAGGGTTCAGAGGGAAGTATCACACGATAAAACTTGATAACATGAATTAATTAATTTCCTTTTGTAGCACTTTCTTATTGTGGAATTACGTATACAGGCGGTTAACCCTCAAGCAGGCAAGTGGGGTGTTTTTGACATCCCACGCATACTCTTTTAAGTATAATGGGCCTTAAGACATCTTTTACACGTATGGTCGTTCCAGTACCTTTCTAAGTATCATTAACCTTTTTACTGCCGAACAACAATATCGTTGTTAGCAGTACTTGCGAAAAGTGACGACGATATATCGTTGTGTATACAATGGTGTCTTCCTATTCGCATCGTAAGAGAACTCTGTCGCAAAATAGATTTATTCTGTCAAATGTTTTCTAACCATTTTCATGAATATATTATATTAATATGTATGGACCGGGAATAATATGCGGGAATATAGAAAAACTAATAAATAATTATGTTGATTAACAATAAAGTAAGTAACGTTTAAATATAAGAAACTATATGCCAACTACACACAACTAAAGCAAGACACAACTTACTGCCACGAATGCTAACGCACGACTCTGTCTGCATAGAGTCTCTTTAATTATTCGTATTCAAAAATCATTCTCTCTTCCACAATCATTCTTCTCACTCTCAACAAACTCTCAAACACCCCCCTTCAAAGCCTAGATACTACAATATTTTTCTCGTTAAGTATCAATAATATTTATAATGTAATAGTTCTTTTTGAAAAAGTGGCCCATCTCTCCCTGACTTACCTTATAAAGCTTCGATCATCGATATCACCGTGACAGTTAACGTATTAAGATATTCATTGGAGGTAAAATGAACACGACGCTGTTTTATACATTACACAGCTCCTTTCGCGAGGAACTCGGTGACTGAAACCTGCGCCGGGAAGATCTATTACAGCGGATTCGTGGCGCAGCTCGCGATGAAAGATGCAAGAATATCCTCCGTGTGCTGTTCGCAAACGTATGGGCCAGGATAAAATGTAAATCTTTGTTTAGGACGTCTAACGGAGCACCGAGCCTCATCATAATTCGCTGGATTTCATTAAATCGCCAGTATTCTCCGACTAGCCTTTTACTAACAATCGAAATGAGGAACTAGACAACTTGGGCCGGCCTTATTAAAAGTAAACATTTTTCAAAGAACACCTCGCCGTTTGCAATTTACTGGTAAGGGAAAGATACACAGGATATTCTTTCTGACTTCTTAACTGTGAAATTGATTGAAAAATCTCTCGTTTTGCGCGCAATAAAATCAAAAAGTGAAATGTGTACTCGTCAAGCGCAGGACGAATGCACCTAGGGTGTACTTTAATGGAAAATCAAAGCAAAACAGAGAAGAATTACATGTTTATGTGACAAAATAAAGAATTCATCGTTGAAAGAATTAGTATCATTACAAGCTTTAAGATGACGTGTATACTCGTCAAACGTAGTTGACTGGTTAACGTTTATGATGTATTAAACTACGATTGAATAATACGAATAAATTTGCCAAAAATAACTGTGAGGACGTTTCTGAAAGATAAAGAACGCATTTTAACGGTAATAAAAGAAGACTCTCCAGTACGTTCCAGTTGAAAATTGGAAAAATTAAAAAAATTGATTATACTTAAAGTTTTATTTAAAAAACGACATTTTTCGTTTAGAAACAAGTATTTTATTTTTGAGTAATAGATGAATGAAGATTGTCGGTGTTAAGATTCTTTTTTAACACAGGTTCTCGACGTCTATGGAGACAGATTTATTGTTGTTAGGTAAATCGGTTCAAAGTAGCGTCTACGAAATTAATCTCGGGGCATTTGACTATTTAATACAGTGCGCCGCGTATTCTCCTGTGCTCTATCTCGCGTAATATATTAATACGACAATATAAACTCCCATTGCTGGGAGTTCATCTCGGAATCGTCTGAATTTTCTATGCCAGCCAAGCAGATTACTAAAGTGTATATCTATCTTTAGAATTGTTATTCCACGCTGAAAATACAATGATCCTGCACGTTATTTGACTTTTCACAATATTAATTAGCATTAATTTCTTATTCTCCACTGAAATACAGGTTTAGTAATTTTTTTTCTAATAAAAATATCACCTGCCATTAAAAACGTTATTTTTCTTATTTAATTAAGATCGAGAAGAATTATCGTGTACTTTTATAAAAACTCGTACATATGTTGATGTTAATTTTCTTAATACACACACCGGTTAGCTGTCACATCGAACAATCTACTACTTCTCGGTTTTAGGTCTACGAGGTGGATGCTGGTTTTGTTTCAGAAGTGCCAACCCGAATAAAACAGGAACATGATGATTATTTTCTCATAGTTGACTTTCAACAAATTTTCGAAATTACTGATTGGTCTAATAGTAAAATGTTCATTGAAGAATATATTTGAAATTCAATTATGACTGTTTTGTTCAATGCAAGGTTTGATGTACTGTATGAATTTGATTTTGAGTGTGTTATGATTTAATTATGTCGATACAACCTGGTATTCTGTTAAACATGTTAGTTGTTTTTACTATTTAAATAAATATGTTATATTCACTTTGCATATTCCCTGAATAAATAATGTGACAGAATAATTATTTAAAACGTTACAAATAAAACTGTCACGACAATAAAGGTAATAAATTGCAATCAACGCGTCGAACTAGTTACCTGAAACGAAAAAGTTACAAACAGTATATTTTGTCGAATATTATTCTTTTAGTTTGGCACGTTGAACATAAAAATATCCCTCTATATGCGTATTTATATAATTCACATAAAAAGTGATTAAAGCCACTGAAAATTTATATAGAACCTAATTAGAACCGTTGAAAAATTAAATTGAATTTAAATGATTATTTCGATATAATGAAGGACGTTTTCAAACTGATCCAAATAAAACACAGAACAACGGAATCAACGTAAGGAGTGTAGAAAAGGTAAGAAACAACGGTTTACAAAGAAGTAAAATTGTGAAAAATGAGATGCGAAAGGCAACGCGAGCGAAATTCACGTTTGTCTAGAATCGTGGGTACGTGACACCGGCCGATAAGACAATGGCCGACAGTGTCTACATTGCGCTTTACACCGAAGGCATTAATTTCCTGAACCACGTAGGAGCTGGCTTTAATGATGTCAATTATGCTGTATCACGTTTTTTGGCTGTATCGCGTGTTATAAACTTTGGTATAGGTGCAACGTAAAAAGTAAATGTATTTGTACTTTAACATATGATGTTAAAGTAAATGTATCTTTTTTATAAAATATGCACAATAAATATGTATGCTGTTATTATTGAACTCTTTTATTACTATACACGCTTCCTAATTCTTTCTTTTACAATCATTGAGAATATATAAGCGTTCCTCAGAGAAACGGGTAAATAACTCGATTTGGTAATGTGCGAACTAAAGCCAATGAAAATTTCAATAAATGCATTCTTATAATATCTTTAAAGGAATAAAAGAAAATCAATTTGACTGCTGGGTAGTTCTAGTGTTGTGTCTAAATATATACATATATATAGTATTGTGAAAGAATATGTATTACTATACAAAACGGTAGAAATTCTAGAACTAGCAAACTGGCCAATACGACCCATTTTAGAATTTCTATTTTCACAATTACTGAAACTAAATATAAAGACGTTTCTAAGAAGGATTGTTTAATTAATTTACGCATTTGTGCAGACAAGATGATAAAGGTAATATAAGTCACCATGACTGCTCGGCAGTTCTAGTGTTAATAAAGCCTGCCTTATCATTTTATTAATTCTCGTGGTTCTGTTCGAATAATATTAAGAGAAAGAATGCAGGAAAATAAGATAAAAACAAGAAATTAAATTAGTTAATTAAAAAATAGTTAGTTATTTTAGTTAATTAAAAAACAGTATTTTTACATTTAAATAAGAATACGTCATAAGAATACCGACTGATTGGCAAAATAATAATAATGTGCTCTGATTGGCTGCTGGTTGCCTTTTCAATACATTTTCCTGAACAATATTCGTATATTTCATTATTTATGCGTCATCCATGACACAATATTTAATTACTGAAGCATAGAATTTATTATGAACTCGATTTCATTCATTTCATTCAATTAACTAACGCATTTTCTCTTTCGAATATAAAATGTGATTGAATATAAAATAAATGTCAAATACTCAATGCAGCTTTTTAAAATATATTTACTTGTATAAAAAATTTTACTTATGCTGTTTGTAAATGATTTAATATTTCTTTTCAGATGCACCGCCAAATTAACTTAATTAATTATAATTACTATAGGAAAAGTCGAAAAATCAACTGAGGAAAAGTGATCAAATCAGCAAGTAATTTTAAATAAAAATTATAAAATGTGTCTTTTGACATCTTTGATAAAAATAATGGTAAAAAAAGATTTTTCTGATATTGTGTTAAAAAAGATAGTTATAATAGTGTTTAACACTAGATGTACAGATTTTTACTGTACATATAGTTTATTTTATCGCTCTTAGAAAAATTGTATAAATATTTATATTAAGTATTTGCATCAACTATCTGTATCAATCAAAATCAACCCACACACTTACCAAATAATGTTTATACAAGTCATACAAGTTTAAAAAGACCTTTTAGTAGATTTACTTATGATACCACTGTGATTAATTTGCGAGAGAATGGTTCTAATGATAACTGTCTACAGAAGTGATAAAGGGAACAGGAGCAAGCTTCGTTTGCAAGAAGCAATACGTTTCCATGCGATATTAGAGGAGTAACGAGTATTAATGACTCACCTGTGGCTGAGGAACACAGGTTAGATCTATGATCTCGCCCAACATGTCAGGATCCATTACTCTAATACCCGGAAGAATCGTCGAGCCAACTGGAAGGTCCTCCTCGGCTACTGCCTCGTACGGCACGCCAAGAAAATGCGGGGGATTGTCGTTTTCGTCGAGAACGATCACGGATGCATCGACACCGACGATGTTCGGTTGCTGACCCGCAGGCACTTCGTCTTCCAATGTGACACGGAACCGTATCGTGTCGTTCTCCTGAAGCAACAGAAAGTATCGAAGATAAGGACACGTGGTTCATCTTTGAATGATTTTTAAGGTAAATGTACTAATAACTCATTAGTTTAGACTGTAAGGATAGCATATTTGTATTAAGAATGTAAATGTAAATGTAAATAGAAATATATAAATATAAATATAACATTATAATAATTAAATATTATATAACATTATAAGAATATTAACTATAGTTACGTGTTATATAATATTAAGTATTAAGTATTTATATTTATATAACCCGAACTGAGTAGTTATTGGTACATTTGTCTTAACTAACATGTCTTATTAAGACATACATTTGTAACGATTTTAGTGACAAATTTTTTATTCTATAAGATACAAAAGGGAAAATACATTAGAGAGTAACAGTAATTTATTGCCTGAAGAATTGAAAAGTAAATTAGACTATATATTTCTATAAAATTCTGTTCATTATAAAATTATAAGTGTCGATAAAGATTCGATATTATAAGAATTTTCAATTTTATCGTACCTAAATGTTGTATATAACCCTTAACAATAAAATAAAATAAAATAAATGCAATCTTATAATTTGCATAAGAAAACACACTAAAATTGACATCAGTCAATTAGACTGTTCAATAGTATTACAGTTAATGAGCATCGCTAATGATCATTTATTGGTTATCGTAACATCCTACAGACTAATTAACATGTTTGCTATCAACGGCATATATTAAATGACGATCAATACTTTATTTTTTTATTTAAAATCGCAGAGCCTGATGTAACATATAAAAAATTAACCACATTTGTTTTTTAAATTTGATTTATATCTTACGAAGACTAAGCTAATATTACTTACAATAATTAACATTATTATAATATTTATTCAATATTCAATCAATATATTTTATATTAACACAGTAATGTAACGAATATTAATATCAATATAACTATGAAAACTGCTATTGAAATGATTTTTGGCAATACAATGTGAACCAGATATTTAATCACCTATTTTCTTTCCTTAAATATTTCAAAACACTTATATATTTATAATAAAAAATAAATATATACAGATATAGTTATTTATACTTTATTATGAACACGCACCAGACAATTAGACTATCCGCTGGTACTACAGTTAACGAGCATGGCTAATTTCGAAAATATCAATGTTAAAAATGATTGTCACGTCAAACACTCATTTTAACATTTAACACTAAATCTACCAGACAGATCAAATTGACACACTTCAGAATTTTTATATTACAAATATTTCAATTACGAACGCGTTTTTGCAAGAGATTTGAAATGAAATTTGCGTACCCATACAAATACAATACTAGGAGACCGTTCGAATCTCAAGAAACGCATCAAATCACCGTAAACAAATCACTCGAATTGCTCGATAGTTTTAGTCTTTAAAAATCACATCCCTACGTATTCAAATTACACAGGGAATCTTTCGAAACACCTCGTCCCTCGTAACGCGTCAGAAAAAGGAAAAGCTCGTTACGCGTAAAGTATCCGTCCCCGTTCGACCGTTTGTTTTCGGCGTCCAGTTATTTCCTCCGTCGGTATGTACGCACACGTACGATCCTACACAATTAGGTCGGCGTCACTTGAGATTCACTTCGCCGAAAGTCCAAGGCTGAGGTATTCCGTCCGACTCGGTCGGCGGGAACATACATGAAAGAGCAGGGCGCACGTTCGGTGGTACGAAGTTACTCGAGAAGTTTTACTGTCCCTCAAAGAAGCCTTTGGATTTGGTCGCGAACGTGCTCAAGCCCGCACGTGAGAAACCAGAGTTACGTACCTACCCACCTTCTCTTTTACGAGATCGATCATTCACGAACCGATCTTGACTCTTGAAGCGGATATCGTTCTTTATACAGCCGTGGAATGGAAGTTCGGAACTTGAACGAGTCGTTCAACTTCTTAGCAAATTTGCTTTCGATAATGCACCCGCGGCATAATTCTCGCATACATATAGCTGCGGGAATTCCGGTTACCCGCTCGGGGCGATAAGAACTTTCCACGATCGAGGGGTATTATGTTATTTAAGCTCGAATGCTCGTTTTGTTTTTCGCTCGATTAACCCTTCGCGATTTGCAAACAGCTGAATGTTCTATTAGGATATTTCTAGATGTCTGGGATTTCGATTTTGAACCCCTTGTCTTACAGTAACGTGTCAGACGCGTGGTAGAGGTTTTAAACAGAATCGAACAAGCATGAACGTTACTGGATTCTTTTGAATTCAAATTAAATATTATTCTTCTATTATCCATTATTAAACTTTGGAGCAAAGGTTGATATGGAATATGCCTATAATTCTTTTTTAAGAAAATATTAATGACAAAGTATTAGTTGTATCGATAATAGTTGAGAAATAAATTGTAAGGGAAGGGGTTAATACTAAAACTACTGTATCAATCGAAATGACTAGTTTCAGTTTTTTCGTTTATTATTGATATTTTCGAAGGACCGAATACACGAAATGATTTTGAAAACAGTTTCATTTGAATACTATACTGAATATCTGAAGAATCTGAAAATAATTTATTGTTGGAATTTTTATGGGGATTACATATCAATCGTATTACATGCTGGGTAGTTCTGGTGTTAAATATTTATATCTTCAATTGCTTTTAGTGGTATAGTGAATGTTGTTCAGAGGAGTATTTAACACGTTGACTGCTATGGGAATTCTGAGCATTTTGTATAATAATAGTTCTTTTTAAGAACACATTCTTTTGCATTTTTGTTTTAGGGAAAAAATATATTTTGTTGCGTGTTACAGACTGATTATACACATACGAAGTTAATGTAACTGTATATACTTTGGAGGAGAATTTTGTACGCTAGAAAAACAGACTTTCTGTCCACTTTCCTTTTTCTCTACGCTGTGTTTTTTCTCCTAAAGAGGGATAAAATGAACTTCTAGTAAGTATCGCAGCAACTCCTTAAGAAAGTCTGCAGCGAGCCACGGAAGCTTAAACATAAACACAGTGTTTAACGTAAGACAAGTTTAAAGACTGTTTTTGATACACGAATGAGAAAAAAACCGGAGTCTGTTCGTTAAACTTTCAAACTTCTCAAACGAGATGCCACTCCGGAACAAGCTGTTCCCCTTGAGTTTCGCTTGAACTCGCTTTTCTCCCAATTAAAACTAATTATTTTGTGGATAAGCTTAGTTTGAAAGAGTAATTTGTGAAAAGTAATATATATTATATGTACCGCACTAAGTTATTGTTACAACACTGTATGTGTTTAACCTTTTGCCTTATAATATTGTTTCAGACACGCGGTGAAAATTTCAAATAGAATTTAAAAAGCATAAATGTCATTCCTCTCGTTTGAATTCAAATGAAATATTGTTCCTCTGTTATTAATGATTATACTTTAAAGCAAACGTTGGCATAAAATATGCCTCGAATTGTTTTCTTATCCTCAACAAATTATTTATAACAAAGTAGTTACAAATAAAACTTTTATTTATTTTTTGGTATATACTGTATCATAATTGTGCTGCATATATTTGATGCATAAATGTGGAGCTTCTACGACGAGGAACATAACTATGTTTTAGCTGAGTAATCAAGTGGGAACAAGATTAATGGTTAATTCACGGTGTATAATATGTGCATCGCGTTAAGAGGTTCTATTAATATATTAAGTATAATAATTGCGAAGAATTCGATACGTAAAGAGAATATATGAGAGGAAAATCACTTAGAATTTACAAATTCATTTATATTTATGAATAAATATTAACAACACTGTGGCAGAATATAATTTTTCAAAGATTCCTGGAATGTAATTACTGTTTGGAATTATAATTATGAAATAAAAGTTCGTTGAGTCAATACATAACGAATTTTTTAATAGAACTATATAAATGCATACAGATGTGCAATCTAAATACAAATTAAATGGTGCGGTCGGTGTTTCTATGTACGAGTACAATTATAATTTGACCGTGGATGATCACACGAAAATCATCAACTGCAGATGGTATACGAAGATGCTTCTATTAAATTCGTAACTATCAAAGAGTTAGTTATAATAATTACGGACTGCAAATTTCATACATTTGTATCATCCACGATTACCGAAAATCCGGTTCAGTAGATATAATATTCATCGAGACCCAGACTGCTTTCTCTGTTTTGGATTCGATGAAGCATTCATTTATATTAATTTCTAAATTAGCAATGATGCAATCGTGAATGATGGATTTGTATAATTCTCAATTGGTAGACATTTACAGTTCTTACTGCTCTGAAATAGAAAGCTTTAATGATAATAATAATTCAAATGATAATATTTATATAATATTTATATAATAATTTAAATGATAATATTTATATAATATTTGTATAATAATTTAGATAATATTTATACAATATTTATATAATAATTTAAATAATAATATTCATATTATTATAATTAAAAGTACACGTCAATAATAAAAGATGTACGTATGAATAATTTTGATAATTTTCTTAACTCGTAGCAAGCTGTATAATACGATATCGTCTATTTTAACACATCGTGTCACTTATTATTGAAAATATAACACATGCTTCTCTGAGTAATTACTATAGAAATATATAATTGATCCCAAAAATAGCCATTTCTTAACATCGTTCTTGGTTAAACTTTACTTCGGGGCATCATCGTTTTTTAAACTTTGTATACAAACTTTAAACTTTAAACTTTATATGTATCATATTGATAGTACTCGACGAATAAAGACTAAACTGTCAGTTCCAGGCTTAGGAATTATTCGGTTCCCAAGCCACATAAATATAATGTAAATTAAATGCGTATACATAATATAGTGACATAGACAGCTACGATTCTAATGATCCTGAAATACGTTGTCAAGGTTATCATTTCCAACTTTCTTCCTGTGACAAACCTGGCGTCATCTTTCAATATTCGAAATAACTACAAAAGATTTCTACCATTAGAATTTTTTCTGGAGACATTTTTCCTGTGACAAA